CACTACGACCAGGTACTAGTACCAGGTAATAGTATTATCAGTAGTAGTAGTACTAGTAGCCGTAGTAGTAGTAGTAGTAGTAGTAGTAGTATTAGTAGTAGTAGTGGTAGTAGTAGTACTAGTGGTGGTCGTAGTAGTAGTAGTAGTAGTAGTATTAGTAGTAGAACCATTAACACCATCACTACTACGAACGAACTATAAAATACGACGACTACGGCTACTACGACTACTACGACTACTACTACTACTACTACTACGACTACTACTACTACTACTACTACTGCCACCACCTTACCACTACTACTACTACTACTACTACTACTACTACTACTACTACTACTACTACTACTACTACTACTACTACTACTACTACTACTACTACTACTACTACTACGACTACTACTACTACTACTACTACTACTACTACTACTACTACTACTACTACTACTACTACTACTACTACTACTACTACTACTACTACTACTACTACTACTACTACTACTACTACTACTACTACTACTACTACTACTACTACGACTACTACTACTACTACTACTACTACTACTACTACTACTACTACTACTACTACTACTACTACTACTACTACTACTACTACTACTACTACTACTACTACTACTACGACGACGACGACGACGACTACTACTACTACTACTACTACTACTACTACTACCATCACGAGGTTCGCGCACGTGGTGGCGAGGGCTGGCTCCGAGGACCTCCGCCTCTTTTGCGGGTGGCCCGAGGCCTTCGCCGAGCATAGGGCCAGCGCGAGCGCGGTCGTCGTCGACGCCACCGCTTCCTGGCGCAAGCTCCCGGGCGAGAAACACGCGCACGTCCGCGAGACCGAGGTCTCGGCGCGGGCGAAATGGGCGCGGAAGGAGAGGGTAGAGTACCCAACAGCAGTTCCTGTTCATGTTGAACAGGATTCGCAATGGGTGTCGCCGCGGCCTGCGCCCATTCGAGACAGAGGGCCGCTTGCCCAACAGCCGCCGCTGATGGTTCGGCACAACCCTTGTTGCGGGGCATTGCGCCCATGTTTTCTGCGTGCATTTCGGGCGTCCTTCAGGTGCACGCCGCGGGCGTCAAGAAACGCTTCGCGAACCACCGCAAGAAGTTCCGCGAGACGTGCAACGAGCAGAACAAGGCAGCCTTCGAGGCGGAAAAGGCCAAGTACTTTGCAGACCACCTCGACCACATGGAGCAAGTGGAGAAGGCCTACTCGAGCGCCGGAGACAAGTACAATATCACCCTGGTTAACGTCTCCGCGGTCGAGAACTGGTTCGACCCGAACAGGGAACCGAGGTCCGCCAAGAAGCGCAGCGCGCTCCTTGTCCCCGCGCGCAAGGTACTGCCGAGTCAGCGACATGAACCTCGACGAAGGCACCCGGCGGCGAGACGTCGCCTACGAGCGGAGCGATGGCGAGACGGGGCGCTTCCGAGCAGGCGAACCCCTAGGAGCACCGCTCAAGGGCTCGCGCGACGCTCTGCTCGTGTTCTCCGAGGCGGAACGCGCGAGGGTCTTCGAGGCTATCGACGCGTGGGGGCAGCCGAGAGCCTGAACGGACGAGCTGGGGGCAAGCTGGGTGATCGACTTCATCGAGCAGGGGCACGGCCATAGCCTCGTGTTCGCAGACTGCCTCTCGAGACAGTGGACCGAGGCAGTGGCGCCGCGAGCGTGGCTCCAAAATATCATCCACCCATGGCCCCCCGACGTCGCGAGCTTCTTGCGCGGGCCCGACACCCGCGAGCACAGCCAGCGCAAGGCCAAGATCCGAGAGGTCAAGGCCGAGATGCACTGGGCCATGGAGCAAGAGTGGCTCCAGAAGACCAAGGCCGAACCCCAGAAGGAGTACAAGTCCCCGACGCAATGGGGGCCCTACGAGTGCCTCTACTGCGTCTCCGAGGCCTACGCCCGCTTCCGCGAGCAGAACAAGGACGCGGTGCCGCTCCATGGGCCTTCAAGGGCTGCAAGCCAAACAGGTGCCCGTGGCCCAGCCGACAGAGCACGGCGGGCTCAAGGTCGTCACGGGCATGGAGCCGTGGAGCTACTCCGCCGAGGCCGGCCGCGGCATCGAGAACCGCCCGGCGCAAGAGCGCCTCGAGGGCATCCAGAGCTGGCCCGAGAGCGCGCCGCCAGTGCCCGAGTGGAGCGTCCTCGACGGCAACTGCTTCCACAACGACAACTTGCCGAGGGACTACGAGGCGGACGAGAACCCCTGCCTCCTGGAGCTCCGAAAGCTGGACCTCGAGCTCGCCGACGAGCAGAAGGACATGCGAAAACCGCCAGTGGAGCGGATCAAGGACATCAAGTTCCCGCCCGCCCTCGAGAACAGGATCAAGCTGGCGCGGACAATTAAGCGCAAGAACAAGTGGGCGTCTAAGTTCGCGGGCCAGTTCCTGGGCAGGCACGCTCGCAAGTGGCAGCGCGAGAAGGGCAAGGCTGGCGGCAAGACCTCACTCGAGCACCTCAGCAGAGGCGCGGGCAAGGCGAAGCTCACAGGCAGGCCGCCAAAGGCGCGCGCGAGCTTCTCCAAAAATTCAAGCAGAAGCAGTGAGCGGAGAAGACCAGCAAGAAGGAGGACAAGGCCGAGCAGAAAGGCGGCCTCGAGGCTTGCGAGGAACCCCCCTGGCACGGCAAGGTGGCGCGCGCCACCGAGAAGGGCAACCGCGAGGGCAGGCGCGGCAGAGTGCAGGACGTCTGGCGAGTCCTGGGCACCGAGAACGAGGACCGCCTGCGCGTCCTCGAGGTGGACACCGCGGCGATCTTGCAGATCAGCACCCGCGAAGCTTCGACGGTCACAGGCACTTGTTAGCTTCCGCCTGCTTCTGCCTGGTGCGGCGGAAGCAGGCGGAAGTTGGCAGACAGGAAAAGGATGGACAGCGGAAGCAGGCGGAAGCAACGCGAAACGCGGAAGCAAGCGGAAGCAGACGGAAGCAGGCGGAAGCAGGCGGACGCGGAAGCAGGCGGAAGCTAACGAGCGCCTGCGAATCCCGAGCGCCACCGGTCACGATCGAGCAGGACTACAAGTTCCCCAAGCCGCAGGAGCTCGACTGGCGCCAGACAAGACACGCTCGCCGCACCGCGATGGCCAAGGAGTACGCGATCATGAACTGCGAGATCAGGAAGGGCGACAACCTCGAGCTGGGCACGGTGCGCGCGCTGCATGGCGGGATCGAGGAGCGAGCGGGCGTCCCCGACAACGTGCTGGTGGTCGAGCCCACGGTGGCCGTCGCCTGGGCTCGAGAGGGCCAGGGCGAGGACGCACCCGCCGCCCAGCAGCCCGAGGAGCAGAAACGCTGGGCCGAGAGGGTCGACAAGGCCCAGCACATGCTGGTCTGCGTGCACTCCGAGGCGTCCGCGAACTACACGTACCTCAAGGTCGGCGGTTGCTGCAATGCCCCCCCACCCCAGGGCACCTCCAGCGTTTCGCTCTGGTTTGGAGCGAATCCTGGTGACGCCCTGGGCAGGGGACACTTGCGGCAATTCCCGCCAGGTCTCGAGGATCGACGGGGGCGGCGTCGAGGTGGACTACCGCGACGCCCTCGAGCAGCCGCCCGGGAACGCCAAGCAGGCCCGAAAAGGCCACATGCGAACTCACGCCTACATCCCACGGTTTCTGAAGGGGGACGGTGGGGTCCCTTTTGCTCGGAAACTGCCGAGCGAAGTGTAACCCGCCCTTCTTCTCCTTAGAAATCGTGGGTCGGGTTCGCACGTGGCCTCCCAGGGCCGCCACGAGGATCCTCCGCAAGCTCGGCGCCACTGGCCCTGGCGAGCATTGCCCAGCACCGAGCAACAGACGATACCAAGTTGACGGTTGGAGCTGCGGCCTCTGGGCAAGCCGCTGGATCGAGCGCGCCCTGCGCGAGATCCGCGGCGAGGGCCGCCAAATGCCAGCGCATCTCCACGCCGTGGTCGCTCGAGGCAGCGATATCATCAGTAAACTCAGGGAGGAGCGACAACGGCGTGGCGATGGCCAAGGCCAAGGCCAAGGCCAAGCACAAGTCCAACCTTTGCAAGGAACCCACGACGGCCGAGCCGAAGTACGGCAGCTACGAGGAGGCTAGCGCCGTAAGGCTAGCGCCGCCGCCCGGCTTTGCACCAAGTGTCTCCCATGCAAGGACGGCTCCAAAGGAGAGTGGTTCGAAGTCCAGCGCAAGAGGGGTTTCTTGGCCAGATCGGCCAAGGACCTCTCTAGCGCTGGCAAAATCTGGGCGCCTGCTTAGCCACGAGCCTCGAGATCGCTCGAGTTAGCCTTGTGTCCTGCGCCTCTGCAGGCAAGTAGCCACGAGCCTCGAGATCGCTCGAGTCAGCCTTGTGTCGTGCGCTTCTGCGGGCAAGTAGCCACGAGCCTCGAGATCGCTCGAGTCAGGTTTCTGTCGTACGCCTGGTTTAACCTCCGCCTCCTCCTCATCCTCCTTCATCATCGTCGTCATTTTCATCATCATCTTAACTTACCTTCCCTGGGAAAATCCTTTATTATCCCCGCGGGAACCGCGAACTTTATTATCCCAAGGGGGGTTATTATCGCCCGCACAGGGTTATCATGTTCTGGCATGCCCCCCCTGGGTATAGGAGAGGAGCGGGGAGCAACCCGGGACCTTCGGGCTAGGTTGCGGTGGTTTGGTGGGCAGTTGCTTGCTCATGCCCCTGTTTGATCCTCGGGCCCCGCCGCCCTCCCCGCCCCGCTGCCCCGCTGCCCCCGCCGCCGAGCCTTCGCTGGCGGCGCGCACAGGGGAGGGCGAGGTATAGCGGGGGGAAGGCTCCCCAGAAGGAGCCTGCTTCTCAGAAGGCACGGGCCCTGCATCTATAGCCCAGGCCCTGGCGCTTCCTGAGCAGACCCCCCTTCTGAGCGTGGCTGCCTCCGCCCTTCACCCCTCTCCCCGCCGCGGCGCCGCGGCGCCGGCGCCGGCACTCCACGCGGAGACGCGCGGCCCAAAGCCGCGCAGCCCCCCGGCCGACGCCGCGGAGCGCCGCCCCCTCACGGAGGCTGCTGCCTCGGCCGCGCCTCGCGCACCCACCGCGCCGCCCTCGCGCGCAGGCCGCCGTCGCGCCAGCAGTCCTCCAGGGCCAGCGGCAGCCCCGAGAGCGGGCAGCGCCCCGGCGCGGCCGCGAGCGCGCGCGCGAGGCCGGCGCGCTCGAAGGCGTGGCCGTGGGGCGAGCGCACGGGGTCGACGATCGGCGGATCGAGGGTGGGGCCTGCAGGGGCCCTAGATTGGGAGCCCCGAGCAGCGATGGCTCAACCTGCGAGCTCGTTCCTGGCCACAGGGCCCCAGCCCAGAGGATAGAGGAGGAGGAGGAGGAGGAGGAGGAGGAGGAGGAGGAGGAGGAGGAGGAGGAGGAGGAGGAGGAGGAGAGGAGGGAGGAGGAGGAGGAGGAGGAGGAGGAGGAGGAGGAGGAGGAGCTAGGAGGCTAGGAGGCTAGGAGGCTAGGAGGCTAGGAGGGAGGAGGAGGAGGAGGAGGAGGAGGAGGAGGAGGAGAGGAGGAGGAGGAGGAGGAGGAGCAGGAGGAGGAGGAGGAGGAGGAGGAGGAGGAGGAGGAGGAGGAGGAGGAGGAGGAGGAGGAGGAGGGGGGGGAGGTCCCCACCTTGGAGCCGCCGAGACGAGGAGCCTGCCGTCCAGGCTGCAGCAAAGCTCCGCGGGCGCCCCGCCCAGGATCTCCCGCAGCCCTGGGCGGCGTGCCCCCGCTGCCGGGGCCGCCTCGGGCCCCGAGCGCGCGGGCGGGGGTGCTGCCTGCGGCGCGGGCTCGCGGCTGCCGAGGAAGAAAAGCCGGCACGAACAGAAACTTTCTGAGAGACAGCTATCGTGTGGGGAGGAAGGGGCTGGGACGATGCAGGGGACGGATGTGAAATAAACACCCTCAGCAGACTCACTAGACCATATGGATGATCTGGTCATGTCTTCCAGCCCCATCACCCCCACCCGGTAACTGTCCTTCTGAACGTTCGGAGGTCCCCGCGGATCTCTCGGCTCGGCGCAGGAGCCCCCCGGCGGCGCCTCCGGCGCCGCCCCCGGCGCGCTCCGGCGCGCTCCGCGCGCCAGGGACGGGGCGATCCAAGAGATCCGCGCGGGTTCTCCGAAAGTTTGCGTACGTGCCGACGCTCCTTCGTCGAGGCTCGGCGCCTCGGCCCACCCGCCCAGCACCGCGACCCAGAGCGGCTGCACCGCGGAAGGCCGCAAAGGGATGCGGCAGCGGCCCAGGCGCTCCGCCACCCGGCCTCGCTGTTCCGGCGCGAGGGCGCCCAGCGCCCCCGCGAGAGCGTCGCCGCCTCTGGGCGCAAGGCCGGCGTTGACCGCCAGGGCCAGCAGCGGGGCCAGGCGCGACGGGTCGAGGTCCGGCCCCGCGAAGCCCTCGAAGCAGCCCCGCAGGAACTCCGCGCAGGCCTCGTGGCACGGCGGCGCCGCGAAGGCGAGGCTCGCGCAGTCCACGAGGAAGCGGGCGCCCGTCGGAGCAGAGCAGCCCCGCGGCACCTCCGACAGCAGGCCCCAGAGCGCGGAGCTGTGCACGCAGACCTCTTCCGAGAAGGCGTCCGCGACGCCCTGCGCCTCTGCCAGGCTGAAGAGGTGGTCCGCGCTGGCGAGCTGGCCCCAGACAGCTTCGCAGCCTTCTGCAGATGAACAAAGAACGGCACAAGCAGAAGCTTTTGAAGGTCCGCGCGGGTTTCTTGGATCGGCGCTGGGCCCCCGCGCCAGCAATCTGGTCGGGGGCTCCAGCGCCGGTGCACGAATTCCGCACGGACCTCTGAAAGTGTCTGTGGGTGCCGCTGTTTCCTCTTCGATTCTGGCCTCTTGGTCAGGGAGGCGAGGAAGGAGGCGAGAGCTGGCAGACAGGAGGCGTTGGCCCCGTCGCGCTGCAGCGCCCCCCGCAGCACGGCGCAGAGGAAGCTGCTGTCGCTGGCCGCCACGGCAAGGCGGGCACGGTGCAGAGCCAGGCCCACGCTGCGCTGCTCCATGGTGAAGCCACCGTCCCACAAGTCATCGGCGATGGCATTGTGAGGCTTCGGGCTGCGCACAGACGGCCACCCCCCCAAAGTAGCCCCGACATGCCTCAACGGGCACCCTGAATATAGCCTGGCGCGGTCTCAGCACCCTGGCGCCACCTCCGGCGGCGCCCCTGGGGCGCTCCGCGCGGTTGGGGTGTTGAGACCGCGGGGGGGGGGCTTTCTGTGCGCGGCCCACAGCCTCACCACGATGACATCTGCGTCCAGCTCATCCCTGAAGGCAATGGCGGGCGCGCACAGGCCAGTCGAGGCTGCGACCACAGCTTCCCTGAGAAAAGCCAAGTGTTCAGGCACCGGCAAAGCCGCATCCGGCTGGCCTGATGGGTCATACAACAGCACTCCCTTGGCGAGCACAAGAGCCCAGGTGGGATCGCCCGATGCCCACTCCCAGAGCGCCTCGCTGGTGAGCTCGCCTCGGTTGGTGAAGTGAAACACTAATGCAAGTGACCAAACGCATATGCACTGAAACGCATGCACCAGCCTTGCCTCTTCCCCGTCCACAGCGTCCATGCGGCAGAGGCCGCCAAAGACATGCATCGAGATACAGTCCACGTCCAGGCAAAGCTTCTCGAGGCAGGCCGCCGCTTCAGCATCCTGGAGGTCAGCCTCGCTGGAGGCTGCGGCGCCCACCACCGCCGCAAGGCTGAAGGCCACAGCCTCGGCGACACCGACACTGAAGCCCCAGACAACAAGTCGGCCCTCCTGGAAGCACTCGTCCATCTTGGCTGCCAGGTCCAAATCTACAGCCTCCACCAAGTCCAGGCACGCGCTGGCGAGCCCGGCAGCCGCGACCAAGCATCCCCGCTTCGCAGGCGCAGCCTCCGCCTCAGCAGCGTCCAGCATCTTCTGCAGCGTGGCGGTGGCTTCGTGCTGCACCACGTCCGCAGCCTCCATGCCCACGCAGTTGGCGAGCCCGAGGGAGCTGGCACACCGCAGCACCCCCTGCACCGCATCCACTGCCAACTGGGCCCCGGGCTGCCACTGCCACTGCCTCCACTGCCACTGGCCCTGTCGCCACGTCTCCATCTCTGCGCCGAGGCGCCCGCCCGGGGTGCTGGCACCTGTGCTGACCTCCGACGGCCCAGGGCCGGAATGGCTGGGGAAGCGCACGCTCTGTGCCGCAGGATACCAGGCTGATGGCGGGGGGCCGTGGACATCTCTGGGCATCCGCGGACACCCGGGGGCTCCGATCAGCATGGACTCCGATCCATGCTCGTCACACTTGGTGGACGCTCGAATCAACGTTCGCTGAAATTGTTAATTGTTGTTTCAGGACGCTGCCAATCCAGCCAATAGCAGCGCATGAGTGCCTGCTCGAGCTATTCAATGTGCGAAGCTTACAGCTAGCAGTCATTCAGACCTTCGAGCCTCCAAACCTTTCAGGTCCAACCATTTTGCGGCTTCAAGCTGCGATCTTCTCACTCATCACGCCTGGTCGTCGTCCTCGTCGTCGGCGTTGTCCTCCTCGTCCTCGTCTGCCTCTTCCACTTCACCACCAACGTCATCATGACCGTCACCATCACTATTACCATCACAATCCTCATCTTCATCCTTATCATCAGCATCATCATCTCTGCCCCGTCCTACTCATGCCGCAGTCCCCCTCTCAGTGTATCTCTTGACTCCTCCGAGGTGCTCCTCTCATGTAACCTTCATCGTCCGCACAGCTCTCCCGATTATTCCTCGTCAGAGCTCCTGTTTCTCAAGCAGCAGGCTTTGGAGTGTGAGACAGGATGGTATCATCGGATCATGCTCTGGGGGATGCAAGCCCGTCATCCCACCTCCCTCCCCCGCCACCCTCAAAAGCCATTTCATCGACGCCGTGTTCTGCGTCGCGCCGGGGCAGCACCAGTGGAGGATGCGACAAGGAACTCGGGAGTGTGGGACAAGAGGGAACACTGAACCCTAGTCCTCCGCGGGACGCTGGCCCGTCCTCGTTTGTGCCTCGTGTCATCCCAGGGTAACGGGGAAGGAGGGAGGGGGGGCGGGAACACGTGGTGGGTTCCAGACATTATGAATCCAACAATGTTGTCGTCAACTCTTGGAGGGCAACCTGTTACTTCCTCTGGCTTCCGCCGGTCTTTCGTCAGCTTCCGCTGGCCGAGGCCGTCTCGTTCTACCTCCGCCGCCCTCCGCCGAGGAACAGACAGCGACTCCTTCGAGTTCTTCGGAGGGCAGGCCCTTTCTGGAATGCTTCACTTGTTGCTGACGCCTTTGTTGAGGGCTGGGGGAGAGACAAGAAAAGAAGAAGGGAGGGACTCGGCTTGCTAGATTCGGCCTCCCACCCCACAGAACACGCCGGGAACACATCAGCCCCAGAACAGCCTGGGCCGCATCGTGAAGAAGGCATGCTGCGTGCCCAGGAGCCCAGCTTGAGCGCAAGCAAGAGCAGCGCGCCGCTGAGGCCCTGCGTGAGGCTCTTCACCCGCGCGTCCGCCGCGGCACTCCGCCGCAGCCGTGCGCTCGGCTTCCTCGGCCCCCGGGCGCGCCACAGCCGATCGGCCCCGCGGCCTCTGCAGCGGCGGCGGCCACCTCCTGGCCAAGACCCCAGGCCTGCTCGTGACTGCGCGGCGCAAGTGTATCCACAACCGCCGCTTGGTGGATCATCTTCGGGGACGTCGGCAGGCGGTGGGCACGGATACGCTCCCCCCCAGGGCCCGAACACATCCACACCCGCCGCCTGCAGACGTCCCCGACGATCGATCCCCATAGTGGCTGCCATTGTTTTATTTTGTTCTTTTTTATCTTATTTTATTAAATAAAAAACACAAGGAAAAAAAAAAACGGCTCGGATCTACCCAGGGCGCCACCAGTCCCGCACTCTCGGCGCGAGCCGCCGCGGCCGCCACGTCTGTGTTTGACGAGTAGCCCCCGGGATGCCTCGCGAGCTTCGAAGGAGAAGCAACACCAGAAACGAAAACTTTCGGAGGTTCGCGCGGACCGTCGAAAGTTCATGATTCTGCAGCTCTCTCATCTTCGACTTGGTTGCCTCGCGAGCTGCAGCGCTCAGGTCAAGTGCCAGCTCGGCATGAGCATCGTCCAACCGATCCCTACCGTCGCCCTTGGCGTGGCCTGGGCCCCACTGGCCGACTCACCCCCCCCAGATGGGGATCTAGGTTGCTTCCTTCGGGTCTCGTGGGGCACGTCCTCGCCTTGGGTGCTGGGGTTGTGGGGATACGGATGGGTATGGCGCGTCGGCGCGCCGTGAACTCAGGAGTTCGGAACCGCCGCGGGGCGCTGCCCCTGGAGCCGCGGAGGCGCCCGCGCGAACGCAGGCGGGGCCGGGGCCGGCCCCGCCGTGGCCCTGGCGCCAAGGGGGGGAGGAGGAGGAGGAGGAGGAGGAGGAGGAGGAGGAGGAGGAGGAGGAGGAGGAGGAGGAGGAGGAGGAGGGAGGTAGGAGGTAGGGTAGGAGGTAGGAGGTAGGATGAGGAGGATGAGGAGGAGGAAGAGGAGGAGGAGGAGGAGGAGGTAGGAGGAGCAGGAGGAGGAGGAGGAGGAGGAGGTAGGAGGAGCAGGAGGAGGAGGAGGAGCAGGAGGAGGTAGGAGGAGCAGGAGGACGAGGAGGAGGAGGAGCGCACGGGCCCCCGCGAGGTGCGTCAGCTGGTGGAGGAGAAGCTGCAGCAACGGGCTGCGCACGGGTCCCCGCGAGAGGCGGGCTGCCGCCGCTGCAGTAACGCCCTGATGCCCTCCCTGCGGCGAGCACACATCTGGCCATCGCTCGGACGTCCATTCCCCTTGTTTGTTCGGATTCGTGCGTGGTTTTTTTGCCAAATTATCAAGGAGGCTCCTCGATGGTCCTCGCCGAAGGAAAAAAACACACGTCCGAGCGATGCCAAGACATACGCGCACGAGCCGTGAACAGTGTCGGGAGGCAGTCGGGACCATATCTATCCTGTGTGCGCAGTGTGTGTGTGTGTTCTTATTGCTATGTGAAGCTAGAAAGGGTGGCATGCACACGGAGGACAGACACCACTTGCTGACTGGAGAGGGGGGGGTCCCAAAGACTACAAGCAGATGTTCGAATCATCATGAGGAGGAGGAGGAGGAGGAGGAGGAGGAGGAGGAGGAGGAGGGAGAGGAGGAGCGCCACAGGCCAGCAAGGGAAGGGCGGACAAGAGAAGAAATTAGATCCCAGATGAGCAGGGCGAAAAGCAACGAGCGTAGCGAAGAGGCAATTCGATGCCCTTCACGAAGGCTATCCCGACAACGGACAGAATACCATTCCTCGACCTTAAAAAATGCGGCGTCTATCACCACTGTAGACAAGCTACTGTACTCGATCCCTGGCATGTTGTCGCACTAGGGCTGAATTGGTCTTTGTGCGCTTTCAATCATGGTACGCTTTGCTGCACGTTTCAATGGCTTCAACAAAAGAGACAAGAGTCTCAGGAAACACGGGCAAGTGACGCCAAACACACGCGCGATCGTGCCATCCACTGAAAGAAATTCGAAGGAGGGGGAAACGAGTTCAAACGTCGGGCAAACCAAAATTTGCCTCAGACCATCACTTCGGGGGCATTGCATGCGCGGCAACATTGCGCTTTCCCGAACCGCTGAATCGTGCACCGCGCATTGCAAAGGGTGCGAGAGAAGGAGGAAAGGACGCAGAGAGGGAGGAGGGAAGATTGTCTAGTAATGAACGTTGTCAGGACAATCCCCTGATCCTGGGTGAGGTCTGGGTCGAACTTCCGAGCACGTCGAACCGGCGCTGGCTTGCGCGAGCAGCTGAAGACTCCATCAAAAAACCCTCAACCTGTTTCTGGCGGTAAGGAGAAGAAGGAACGAGGCCGGGCAGAAAAGAAAGGGCATGCCAGTTTTCGAGCATATGTCGAAAATGCGATTCCCTCCATAGGGGCTGGCATCTCCACGCAATGACGCAGTCGTCGGAGGAGTCAGAATCTTCGAGGAGCGACTTAATGTCAAACAACGCCTTCGAATACTCGACAGCACGGAACAACGCAAGAAGACCAGCATGCCCCAGGCACGCACCTTGGACGGGAAGGCCGATGGAGCGAAGAGAACAGGGGACGGGGGACGGGAAGGCGAAACGAAGTGCAAAAATCACAACCTGCACCATGTCCCGCTCAATCCGAAGAGCATGCGCAGTTGGGGGGGCGAGCTGGGCATCGGATATGATGGCACTGTGCGCGAAGACGCTATGATGGCTAAGGGACATCTGAGGCCCCAGGCACAGGCCCCTGGCAAAGTGGCTCCTGGTCTGATACTTTAGCACACTGGCACCCTTGCCCAAGATCAGCCACAAGCTACTTCCCACATCGGCCAACTTGAACCTCGGGGTCGGGGAAGCCAGCCTCGGCCACGGCGCGCGGGAGCTGGGAGCACGAGAAAGGCCCGGGTAGCACCATGAACGTTGAGCTCCAATCCCGTCGCAGGACCAGCTACCTGCCAGATGCGCAGAGAGATGGCCAGGCTGAGCACGACGACTCTCGATGCCAATTGTAGGTCGTCCGCACAGGCTCTGAGAGAGGACGCGCCGGGTGGAAGGCGCGCGGCGTGCATCCGCATGACGAAATCAAAGCACAAGGCGGTCAAACTCCCGGAAAGGGAGCAGCCTTGTGCGGTGCCCTCTTGCAGAAGAGCCCCTCGCCATAGACGCCCCGGCGATGGATCGCGATCCACACGCCCTGATAATCACAATGCCCCGGCGGCCTCAATCACGTCACAAGAGATCGCCGCGGCAGCGAGGGCCCAGGAAATAACCGCCTGCAACGCAGACGGAAACGCAGCCCAATAATGTGATCCCAATCAGAATCATGAAGCGCTGGACCATCCAGTGCATGCCTTTGCTCTCTAAACCGATGATGTGTGTTTCAGCATGTCGCGATTCGGTGCGAAGCTGTTTGGCGCGGCGTCGGCTTGTTGATGCAAAGGGCAAGGGCCTCGACGCAGGTGTTCGAAAGGGTGGGCGGCCGAGCTTCGCAGGAAGACCTCTGGACAACCGCTAGAGCTTCGATGGCGAAAAGTCCACCTCCGTGCCTCGCAGAGCATGGGGCCCCGTCAGGGCCTGAGCTGGACCCAGACGTCGGGACCAAGATCTGGGCGAATTCGTCATAACACAATTTCCACTCTGGCACAGAAGGAGCCGGAACCACAAAGTCCTCGGATTCTTCCCTGGCGAGGTCGCTCCCAGCGAATTCGACGTGGACCTGGCCTCAGCAATGAGCAGGCTCCCTGGCCGCCCTCGCGGGGCCCAAGATGGCACTACCACACGGATCCAGCCCCCAACGTAAAATAGATTCCGAGTCTTCCACGTCTGGCTTCTTTTGGCTGGCCCCGCATCATCAGCATCAACATTGGCAGGTGCCTTGTCGAGGCTTTCCCTTTTCGGGTGCAAGAGACATGCGCGAAATCCAGCAGGGTCGGCAAGCTGACACGTGCTAAGACAGAAGAAGCTCCCGACGGCAGGGAAAGCGCGGCGCGCGCGACACAGCGCCGCAGGGTCTTAGGCCCGAGAGGCACGGAAAAGAGCCAGGGATCAAGAAGCCTGGCCCGATCTTCGAACGACTGCGCCCCATGTCGCTCCCTCGTTTTCTTGACCACCCTAGCACCGCAACGAATTGCTTCAATGACTTCAGATACTGCGGCCCCGGGGTCAGCGGAAAAATGCGCAGGGGTCTGCACGATGATCCGGAACGCCCCGCCGAACTCGTCAGACTTCGAAATCCAGGACGGAAGAGCGGACCTCCGAGATTGCGCGCACCCAGCACGCAGGGAAAAAACAACGGGAACATGACCACATAACTCGTCAAGGTCATGGCAGAAGGTGTGCAGATCGATCAAAGACACCATCGGGATCGAAACGCACACCGGATCAATCCGGCCAAAAGAATGCAGAACCCGCTTCACCACAACATGGCGGACCACCGAATGCGTGAATTGTGCTTGGTCGACTTCGCACAGCGTGGGAAACAGCCGCCAGAAATAGCGTCCAAGCCAATGAAGAGGAAACGAAACATCCCCGTCAAGAGAAAATCGCCCTTCCCCAACTTCAGGGTGATTGAAACCCCCTCCGACCAGGACCGTCGCCCTCGAGACCAGTTTCAAGGCGCCTCTGATCAGATCAAGTTGGGATTTCCTCACTGACACAGCGATCGTAGGGTGCAAATGAAATGAAGTCCTGTTCTGCCCCCGGAAGGTCAAGGATTGGATGTACCCAGCAAAGGTCTCTCTGTGAGAGGTGTCGGGGCGAATCTACCACAGCCTGGGGCGCATGATGCCGAATGTGTCAGAACATACACAACCATTGTGCCCACGGAGCCAGGGCAGCGTAATTAACCGAGTCGAAGTGCTCGCTTGCAAGGGCCGGCGTGATCCCGAAGGTCACAAGGGCACGGAGCTGGGGCGTGACTGCGTACACTGCCCGCCGTCTCCAGGCTCGATCTTGCAGAGGAGGCGGCAATCGACTTCGCTGCAGATCAGGTACTGTGCCCACGGTTCGGCTGGCTTCCCAGCTTGCAGCCCTCGCGCATCTGCGGGGTGCTCAGCAGGGAAGTCTGGTGTGACCTTGACAGCTGGCCCAAGACGTGGTTGTCGGGCCGGGCGAAAGGGGGGATAGCAAAGGGGGGGTTTGAGAATCAGCTCACGGAACTGATTTTTCCGGCGCCTCCCGGCGCCAGGAGGCACCCACGTATCGAGGAATGGGCCCGGCGGCGGGGCCGAAACCAGCTACATGCAGCAGATTTCGTAACCCCCCATTTCCCAATCCCCCCCTTTCGTCCGGCCCGAGGTTGGCCTCGCGGATGTTCCCTGGGGTGTCGGGCTTCGCCCTCAGGAAGTGCCTCTGGCTCGCGGGATCCGTACACTGCAGGCCATCGTCATTGACCTTGGACAAGATCGGCTTCGCGGGGTGGGAGTTCGGGAAAGTAATGGAATGCGAAGTATTGAAGCTGAAGCCCCAGCTGCGGCATTCCTTGCGGACGCCCTCTTCGCGTTGGCTCAGCATGGTGGCGCCGTGGGCATGCAGCACAGGACCCATGACCAGCTTTCCAGATGCCCACCACCCAGATCTTGCACGGGTTGGCCTGGGAGGACGAGTCAGACCCTTCGGAGGGCGCCGCCGAGCCGACGGGAGGGCCAGCGGGAGGGGCAGCAGTCGCGGCCGGGCGCACCTCCAGCTTGCCGAGGCGCTCGACGACATCCTTTAGCAGCTCGGCGCTCTCGGACCTCATTGCGGTGTTGCCATTCTCAGGTTCAGCGTCGATGCGGGCCTCGAGGGCACCAATGCGATCTCCAAAAGCAACAAGTCGTGCCTGCATGCCTGGGGTGGCTGCAATCGCCAGCTGCACGCGGTTCATCTGGCCGGAGAGAGGGTCGTCAGGAATCCCTGCACGCCCGTCAAGATGGTGCGCAGCTCCTCGCCGGAGACGTCCGAAACTCGGGCAGCCTTCGGATCAGGCCCCCCCGCACCACCTTTGCCAGCAGCACCGTTGGAGGCGGTCCCACAGGCGGCAGCAGCGTTCGCAGCACTAGCAGCTCCCGCCATCTTCGACTGAGACTATGGGTCGTTCTTCACGCAGGGGTCAGATCCCTGATGCATTCACAGCTGAAGATGGCCAACAGAAGGTCGAAGGATGCAACTAGCGAGTGAAGTGAAAAATATTGGTTTGTCCGCCTGGGCACGACACCCAGGAACGCCCACACGCAGGGCTGCCCACTCAGGCACTCTGAGGCAATTGAGAGGAGGAGGAGGCGGAGGAGGAGGAGAAAGGAGGAGAAGGAGGAAGAGGAGGAGGAGGAGGAGGAGGAGGAGGAGGAGGAGGAGGAAGAAGAGAAGTAGAACGAGGAGGAAGGAGGACGAGGAGGAGGAAGGAGGAAGGAGGAGGAGGGGCCCTCCCCGTCCGCACGCAATCGCCAGGTCGGGCTGCATCCGCCAGGAAGCACCCGCCCGCCGATCGCGCGCGCACGGGCGTCACGCGCGGGCGAGAGATCCGCAGATGGCGTGCCGCGATCCGGGTGCTGGGACTGCGCCCAGCACCTCCCCCTCCGCACCAGCGGCCGCGCCTTGAGCGGCCCCGCGCGCCACTGCAAAGTCCGCCGTGGCCATCGTCCTCGCTGGCACGCCCGCCGGGGCTGCACCGACAACCGTCTGCACCGGGGGAGGGGGGCGACAGCTGCTGCATGAGAAGAGCAATAAGAAACAGAGACAGCAACAACATAAACATGAACTCTTGGAGGTCCGAGCGGATTCAATGGATCGGCGCTGGAACCACCTCCCTGGCGCGCTGAACGATGATCGGCGCCAGAGGCGCCGCGGGGGAAGGCCCTGCGCAGATCCAAAAACCCGTGCAGCCCTCCCGAGTGTCTGTGTTGATGCAGGCTTTCTTCTTCGGATGCAGCGCTCTGGCCACCCGTCCCCGTCCCAACTCGAGGCTCCACCGCGCCTCGGAGCCCCGGGCCGTACTGGCAGGGCCTGGACGCCAGCGAGTAGCAGTCCCCGCGTGGGGGGCAGCGCGCCGCGCAGGAGATATAAAAGGCCAAAGCAGCGCGGGCAGCTGCGCCAGGCCCAGGGCTGGGTTGTGGGCGTCTCGGATGGCATAACTGTTGGCCAGGCGAAGCTCGGCCACGCAGAAGCTCCTCGACCCAGATCTGAGGAGCGATCCGGCAACCAGAGCGCCACCTGAGCCCAACATTCTCCTCATTGCAACGGTGTGACTGTGAGCCAGTCGAAGAGCAAGGGCGGGTGCCGCATTCACTGGCCAAATTTGGCTTTCCCATGTGATCGCCTTCGCCCCCCCCACCCACTCACCCAACCCACATAGCAGCACCTTCGTGCGAAGAGAAAAAAATAGCCGTGGCGCCAAGGGGTTCCGCCGACGATTCCGCCTTGGGGGGTCAATGGAAGGACTGGGGAGATGAATCTCAAGGTCTTTGCGGGAATCTGAGAAGGGGGCGTTTGCAACAATTTTGCTCCAGGCGTGGACGCAGACCCGCGAACACGGATTGGCCTTCCGAACTGCTCAGACCCTGGACAGGGCAGAACATCACAGGGCTGCCTTCTGCCCTACAGGGCACGCTGGCGGCGACGGCGGCGCTATCGACGACGTCGACGGACGGACGGACGACGACGACGCAACAGCGACTCATCGACGACAACGGACGACGACAACGGGCGCGCCCTGCCATCCGCCGACCTGATGTTTTCATCCTGCAGCCCCTGAGAAGCCGGCCCCCTCCCAGGTGGTGGTTTTGCGTTCCAGATTCAGACTTGATGGCCCAAGGGCCTGGCAGCAGGCCCCAGAGGCCGAAATCGAGGGCAAGCGTCTAAACTAAAAACAAGCACTGTCGGACATATGGAAACGACGACAACGACGACCTCGCTTCTCCGTAGGAGCCCAAACCTCGACGGCATCGACGACCTCGAAGACGACGGCGACGACGACGACGCCGCCGCCGCCGCCGGCGCCGACGCCGCCGCCGCCACCGTCGTCGCCGTCGCCGTCGTCGTCGTCGTCGTCGGCGGCGGCGGCGGCGTCGTCGTCGTGCGGCACGACGACGACGCCGAGCCCTCGTGGGGCCCGCGGCGGCGGGGCGCGCCTGCAGGAAGGGGTTCGGGGGCAGGTGCTCCGCGCGTCCGGCCGCCTCTCGGGAGCGGCCAAGAGGGGGGTGCCCAAGAGGGGGGGGTGCAAATCATGACCGGCGGCATGTGCGCGGCCCAGCGGGGGGGCCAGGGACGTAGTGAAACAAGAAGAGGCGCCATGAGATATGGGGAAATATCATGCCCCCCGCCATGATATCCACCCCCCCCTAGTCATCACCCCCTCTTTTCCGCCCCCGAGCCTCGGCCGCCGTGGCGTCCGCGGCGAGGGAGAACCAGAGCACCAGCCTGGCCGGGGCGCCGCCGGCGTGGGCGTCGTCGGCGGCCTCGCCTGCTCCCTCCGCTCGCACTCTCCGCTCCCTCGCCGGGCCTCCCAGATCGGGCCCGAGCAGATGGGCGCGGGGGATCGCGGCGAGCTCGGCGGTGGACTGCAAAAAAACCCAGGATTGCAAAAAAAACCTTTTTGAAGGATTGCAAAAAAAAACCTGGATTGCAAAAAAAACCCGTTTGAACGAAGGATTGCAAAAGGGTTTTTTTCGCAATCCCTCGCTTGAACGAAGGGTTTGCTTTGCAATCCTTTGCAAAGCCTCGTTTCATGAGCCTCCCCTTCGAGAAAACGGCCTAAGACCGAAGCCGATCGACCTGGACCCACAAAAACGACGGCCGCGACGCCCTCTCGCGAACCGGAAACGGCCAATTCCTGAATCGACGTGTCAGGGTAGGAGGTCCATCAACCTCCGATAAATGGGGCCCGAGCAGATGGGCTCGGAGGATCGCGCCGAGCCAGGGGCGCGAGGAGGAGGGCCACGCCTCAGCTCGATGGGAGAATGCCCCGCGGAGGGCGACGCCTCGAGCCCTTGCGTTGCCGGCGCCAGCCGCCCATGCCAAGCGCAAGTGCTACTCGAGTCCAGCGCGCCTGCACGAGGGAAGCGGAGGTGGATTGAAATAAACGGCTACTGAAGCAGATGCTGGGTGAAACGCAGAGCTATACCAAAACGCTCACCACGTCCGCCCCACGCGCCAGGGCGCGAGGAGGAGGAGGAGGAGGCACAGACATGCTCCCGTCGCACAGAAGACCGGCTCAAGGGAGGGGGGGGACATCGACCTGGAATCGGCGATACATCGCAGATAGGTCGGCGATGTGCCCACGATCAAAAATTTCCGCACACTCCTGGGCGGGGTGGGCTATCAGGCCCAGGCCCCTGTCGGCGAGCAATGGGCGAGCTGTGCTCTAGTGGCCATCTGGGCCTCCCCGGGGATCCTGGGGACAACTTAGGCCAGCGACACCATTGGCAGCACCCGACAGGTCTGCCATGGGGCACGCAGGAAAACATCGAAACTGTTCCGCGCCTTGGCCGGCGCGGGCACGGGTGCGAGAGAGGTAGCAACTCTCTGTTGCAGGAGGAAGGGGATGAGGATCGACGTGTTTCTGGCTTGTTCCCAACACAAGACACAAAAGTGCTGCATGTTGGACCAACATGAGCATTGGGGGGGGGCCCTCGGGTACCTCGGGACATCTCCGGAAAGCTAGGGCCACAACGCCAACCTGGTCAGGCGCGAGGAGTAAGATTTCCAGAGCCGCAGCGCGCCACCTGGACCCGATTCGTCACATCGGCAGGGCCGCGTCCTATGGTGAAGGGAGCAGGCAAGCACGGGGGGGGAGAAGGAAGCTCGCGTCTTTCCCCCGCCTGGCACCTCGTGGCTGCTACATCTCTTGAGAAGACTTCCCCCACAGCCCAGCACACCGCGGCCTCTGGGACCAGGTGCCCTCGACTGTCCCAAATGCCCCGCATCGCGTCTTTCGACAAATCAGCCGCCACCGTACCCGCTGGCACGCTGATGCATGGTAGTACGCCGAATTCTATGTTGAGATTGTCTGTAACCTTCTGACATCCAGCGAACGAGAAACGAAGTCGATTCCATGACTTCACGTGGACTTGCCACATGCATGACTTTGTTCGGTATTCCGCCCAGCGTACATGCCACGTGTGCACCCTGAATTCACCGGCAGGTCGCCTAAGCGCTCCCTACCCCCTTTCGACCCCGCCCAGGAACAGGATGATGCCGTTCGAACCAGCCACTCTGAATTCTCAATGCTCAGAAGTGTTAGGGCGCGCACACGCTTGATTCAAACAAGCGGTAACAAGTGTTCCACGCTGCCACTGTTCTCCAAAACCTGTTGCATTATTTTGTTCGGCCCACCCGTTTCGCAAGTTCACCTGGCATGTTCGCCACTGCTGCTGCTGCTTGTGTTTCTGCTAGGGTCACAAGTAGCTGGGCCAGCAGGCATCTTGCCTGCCCGCTCGAGCGCGAAAATGCTAGCACACTCGCTCGAACAACTCTCGGACGCCGACTCGGGCTCGGCCTCCGGATTCATGCCTGTGGCGACGAGCAAACACTTCGGACCGCAGCGGTGGCGATTGCACACCGCGTTCGTAGCCTGAAGGTGGGGCGCTGCTATACGCGAATTCGGCACAGACCCGTGGGGGGGCCAGAAGACAGAAGAAGGCAGCCGCGGAGGAGGGGAAGGACAGGCGGCGCACTCAGACGAGGTGACGAACGACCACCCAGGCTGGCACCGAGGCGGAGGACGAAGCCAGGACGATGAGAACATCGAATGGAGGTAAATCGAGAATCTCTGAGATCGGGCGGCTCTGGACGATGGTGCGGTCGGCGCGGCCTTCTCAAAGCGTCCTGGAGCACTCTGAAAGCCTTCCAGAACGCTCTGGAACAGATCTGTCCTCGTCATGGCCCCGTCCGAAGGCACTCAGAGATGAAGCACGAAGCACGGCTAGCAGTTTGAGCAGGGACCGACCGTCCGGGCATTTCTATAGACCTACCACGAAACTTTCTTCGAACCCAGCAGTGTTCTGAGAACAAAAACCATGCTCTTAGAACATAAGCCCGATGTGTTAAAACAAAAAACAATCCGAGCCAGAAATGCTCCA